TCTTCAAACTGTTCATCCAGAATGATACAATCTTTGAAGGTTAGGTACTTATTGTTTATCAAATCTTACATTCTATCCTTGGTTCATTTCCTCTTAGGATTTGTCTTTAAAAAGGCGATATCAGTGAGAAATAGTATAAGCCATTGGGTACTGTGTTAATCTGATAGCCAAAAGTCCCCAGATTCTGTTCAGACATTACTTTAACCCAGTTCGACGATCAAACACCAGTGACCCGGGATAAGCTGGAGTAACTTGCGAAAACAATGATATCTTGAGCCACATTGGATCGTTTTTTGAGATTTTATTGCAATTGATAGCTAGCAAGATACTGAAAAGCTTTTTGGTTTTAGTTTTGCTGTGGTTTTAGATTTAGTTTCTTGGCAAGGTATTCAGTTTCGAGAAAGGAACCAAGATCATCTAAAAAGGCCTGTCGCAAATGTGTTAAATTCGGGCAACTTACAAGCACTTACAGCTTGGTACATTTCAGTGCGTTTCTCGAAAAGATCGTTCAGTGCTAAAATCAACTCTTTCTCCCCTAGACTTTCCAGTCTAACACTTTAAAGGAAAAATATTTGCTTTGAAAAGGAGCAGTTCTTTTGAGAAAACTTCCTTAGCCGTTCACACAAAAAAATGGAAGACAAGAGAAGAAATAACCGGCTTGAGCACAAACATCCTTGAAACAGAGCCAGATCACCTATATAATCCGATCTTAGCTTTAGGTCTGGCTTCAGAACGTCACCAAGATCTATTCTTTTGGTTATTTCAGATATTTTGCTATTGCTTAGCCAATGGGGCTGATAAAGGAAAAAGAGATAAGGACAATATTCCAGCGATGAGGAGCTCAAACATTTCAAAGATTTAATGCTAAGGAAAGAACGTTTTCAAACGATCTTCAAGTTTTTAAAGTTTTTCAAAAATAAGTTACCGTTTACTCCTCAAAATTATGCATTTTTTTGCATTCCAGTTAAATTCTTAAAATCTTTTTAGGCTTGAGCTGCAGTTTGGGGCGGTTTATAACGTAAAAGCTCTCATTTTAGATTTATCATTTAGATTCACCGAACTTGGGCAGATGAGCACCTGAAATGTAAGGAACAAAAGCTTAATTTTGCCAAGAATCTTGCAAAACTCAGAAGAATCAAAGAGCAAAACAAAGGAAAAGAGGTAACGATAGTTTGCTGTCGAATTTCAGGCCATTTCGGCTTTGTTGTTAAACGGTATCCATTTAGGGATGAATCGGAAAAGGAGATGAGAGAAAGGTGAGAATTGAATATTCAATAACATGAGAATTGCAATCACAAACTGTTTGAGATGATGGACAAAGAAATCATGCCTAAAATCGATTGGAATTTGAAGCAAATTCAGAGGGGTCACCGGAAGGAGCAGCTGCAAAGGTCACAAAAAGAGTGACTAATTTGTTTGATAAAATATTCAATAAATTAGAATTTATCTAGATTTAAGCCATTTAGCGGAAATTCCGCTTTTAGATTAACCCATCTTCTTTTTGACTGAGAAACACTGGAGCTGTCAACCCCAAGAAAGACCAAAAACAGTGGGTATCATGCTGGGCTTTCTCGTAAGCTTCGTCAATTTTGTTCACCAGTTTAGAATCCTGTATTTTTGTTAAATTTATCTTTAAGTTGTCTATTTTTTACTTAATCAAAGCCTTCTACATTAACATTTCAGAACACTCGCTACAGTTGAAACCATGGGATAACTATTGAAGTGCATTGCCGTGACACTACCGAAAGTCGGGTCTCCTATTCTGAACAGGTAAATGATGCATTTCAATTGGAAATCTAATCTCAACAGATGGTAATGGATTGTGCCATATTATAACGCTTCGGTTCCTGAGAAAGAACAATATGATGGATGTGATGGTGGTTGGCCATCATCGGCACTCAAGTGAGTCTTGTCTTAACCATTCCTCACCCATAAATATTGGGTTGGTGAATTGAAAACTGCGGGCTATTGTCATATGTGACAGTTTGAGCACTTTCATTGAAAGAGCCCATTCCGGTGAACAATGGAAAAGTTGTAGAGAATCAAAAATTAAGCTTAGATCCAAATTTTCAAAACTATTCAAAAACTGGTTTTCAAGAAATGCCAAATTTACGAATTCTCACAAAACTTGCGGCTTTTAAGCCCGAAACTACTAAGTGTATTTTTTAGGAAATTTGGCTATGAGCTTAATTCTCGATTCTCTACAACTTTTTTATTGACACCAAAATGGGTTTCTTTTGAAGAAAGTGCTCAAACTGACACATCTCCAGCCCTCCATTTTTACGTCTCACACTTGTCTCAAACCAAATCCTACTACGAAAGAGGAATCCGCAAATTGCCTGTAAAATGGGCAAAGTCGTCAATAATAATGGAAATTATTTGGAATGAATTCTGTGGTTTTATGTTGAATAAATTTTAGTTCTAAAGTCCCCTAGGTTTTCCTAATTCACCAACCCAATAGATTAGGGCTGTTGAGAGGAAAAAAAGCACGTAACAAGTAAGGTGAATGAATCCCTGAAGAAGAATAGGCCCTCCGAGTCAAAGATCAGCTCTCCTCCCACGACAACGCGCGCTCCTCATGTTGCAAAACTCACACGAACTAAAATAAATAGCCCTGTTTGGGCGCTTTGGGCGCATTCCCCATACAGTCCGGACCTCGCCCCTTTTGATTATTATTTATTCCAGATCATGAGTAGTGAGCTTGCGGGAGAACACTTCGATTAGGAAGAAGCAGGATTTTTAAAGGTTTTTCGACTCAAAACCAAAATCCTACTACGAAAGAGGAATCCGCAAATTGCCTGTAAAATGGGTATAAAAGTCAGAATCAATTCATTCTAATAATGGAAATTATTTAGAATGAATTGATGGTTTTATGTTGAATAAATCTTAGTTCAAAGTCCCGCAGTTTTCTAATTCACCAACCTAATAGTTTTAGCGGTTTCAAGTTATAAGCGGTTCTCTTAACAATATCAATAAAATTGTTGAGGCTGCAAATCAATATATTTAGACGGATCATGATCACTGGCACAGAAACAGAAAAGCAAGACCCACTACTTGGCTGGAAAAGGAGTCTGTCCATTAGGACTTGCGGAAAAGAAAGTGAGCAATACATTTCTTTTTGAGCTTCTTTTTCAATAAGATTTCATTGAATAACTTTAATTTTTGTTAATTGTCAGCTTTACAATACAATTTAGCGACCGGTGGCCGCGCATCCGATCTCCAATTGGGCAAACCTCACCGGAGATGTTGATGCGATGGTCGACTTCATTGCCAACAAGGCTCCATTTGCCTTTTGTATGAATTTCCTCCATATTATCACCTCGCCCAATATTTTCTAGGCATGATGATTTGTGAAGACTTTTTCGGGTATCAATCCGGTGTCTAGTGATAGCACGAACTGCACTGAAGATAATGCTGTTTGTGACTGGACGTGCTGTTGCTGTGATGGGATACGGTAAGTTATTAAGAAAATGTTAGTCTTCAAGAGTAAATACTCAAGTTGTAATCGATTACCCACTTGTACTCAGGGACTACTGATACTGGAATCGATTATTGGCTTGTCCGAAACTCTTGGGGACCCTACATGGGGAGAAGATGGTTACTTCAGGGTAACTTATTTTTCTTATTCATACTCGAAAAATAGTTAGTTTTTAAGACAGCGATTATATTGGGTTGGGAAGAATGAAAATGAAAAAGCGCCGAAAATGAAAAAAGTGTCCAAAAACTTCTATTCGACTTCGTCAAATAATATGCGTTTGATATCAGTAGAATGGTTAACTAATTCTCTACAAAATGACATTTAAAAGAAAATACTAAACAGCGCCTCCCTCAAGGAAAAGCCATTTTTTCACAAAAACTACAAACTGTGATCTAGAAAAACCATTGGTGGGATCTTCCTGCAAATTTGGCAACTTAAGTAATTGAATGCTCTATCTTTTTGTATAAACACCAAAGAAGGTTTATGTGAAAGAAACTGTTCAAATGATGAGTCGGACTCTTTGCCATTTTGACTAGCTGTGTTTGGGAGTCCATAAACTCCACGAAAGAAAAGCTTTGTGGAATCTCTCAAAAGTCATTTTATAGAGAAAGAGTGGATCCTTTTGATGAAACCAAACGTATGTTTAAAGAAGGCTTTATGTGTGCAAAAGTCCCTTTAAAGTTGGGCGCCGGACTCATTCTCCCCAACCCAATAAGTTCTTGATTAATTTCCACTTCTCGGATTCGAAGAGGAACTAATGTAGCTGGTTGTGAGGATTCGAATGTCGCTGGTCCGATTCCGGTCGATTCACGTGATTGTCCCAATAATAAATTGCATCGGGCACATCACCATATCAATCCTCATACACAACAGGATTTTGTTTTGATTTGAGTTTGAAATAAATTATTAAACAAAACTCGATTTGATAAAGCTGCAGGACAAAGACAAAGCGTTATTGTTAACAAAACACATTCTCAAATCATTCGTGAGCTAATTTTAGAAGATTGGGAAATAAACAAACGATGTTACATGAAAATAGCCTTCAAAGCGTCAAAATTAAAGCTTGTAGAATTGATTGAGTTCATAAAGAAATTCATCGTCATCGAAACAAAACCGATTAGTTGGTCCCAATTCAAATTGGTGTCCTCTCCACAAGCTCTGACAAATGCGGTAACACGGAATTGCCCGCAAAGCTCTCAATCTTCACCCGTGTTTCGAAATATTGTGAATGGATACGGAATATCAAGAGCATGAGAAACTTCTGTGAAACATATGATTTGAAATACAATAAATCCAAGTACAATGCAAGTTTACAAGACAAGTTTGCAGTTGTAAATTCAGTTTGTAATTAAAATTTCATTTATTAAATTCTTTGATCCGTTATTTAATTGGTGTGTTTGAGGGAGAGCTTTGTCGTGCCTCCATTTCTCTTGTATTCAACATTGAAGATGATCACCACAAAACTAAGAAAACATTTTGAGAGTAAAGGCTTTCAGTTTCAAGAACAGTAGTTGTTAACTTACCAGAGCATACAGTGGACGATAAAAGGCGTGATTTTAAGCACCAAATAATAGAAAACCGGTCGCTCTGACGTGTAGACGTAATTCACGATGTAGTTGCCAATGAAATAACAAATAGTGATGAGGTGAGTTGTGACTAACTAGGAAAAATTATCTGCTTAACAGAGCAGAATTGATGAAAAGGTAGGTTTATCTCTAGAATCTTGTTTTCAATATAATCTCTCCAAGATCTCTAAAGTTTAATGTGTTGAATAGGTTTGAATTTATCTTTGAGATGCTTTTTTCCTATTTTCAGATCACTAGGTAATACAATATCCTGTTTTATATGAAAAGATTGGTTTAGCTCATAAGACAGGGTGAGTGAAAAGTTCTGTCCCCTCCTAAAAGACCACTTTTACGATGTTTTATGAAGTTTGCAAGACTCAAACCTACAAATTAGATTTTTCAAGTATTTTTATCCTAGAAAATTGTTGCATATGTTCTATTCTAATCATATAAAAAATTTTATAGAACTTTTTATAGACATCATTTGAGCAACCCTCTGGTCGCTGGCCAAAATGGCTTCCCTGGCTTCGGAATAAATTAGAACTTGGTATATTTGTAACTACTTAGCTATAAAAACAGTTTTTTATAATTTAACGATTTTGAATTTGGCAGTTGAGCATTCTCGTCCTCATTTAAAGTCTACAGATCAACTTGTGCAACTTTTTAGGTCTGATATAATTTTGATAGCCTCTTTTCCAAAAAACCGGATTGTAAAAGCAAAATTTCATAACGGAACTATAGCTAGCTAGATTTGAATAATGCTAAGAAGTCCTCAAGACAATGTTTTAGTAGCTAAATAGTTATTTTAAAAAGTGTTTAAGATTATTATTGGCCTGTGATCAGAGGGTATCTCAAATGTTGTCATAAAAAGTTTTATAAAATTTTCTATATGGGTAAAATCGAACATATGAAACAATTTTCTAGCGTAAAAATATTTGAAAAACCTAATTTGTAGGTTTTGAGTCTTAGAAGCTTCATAAAACATGTAAAAGTGGTCTTTTAGGAGGAACAGAACGTTTTACGCACCCTGTATGTAGTAGTTATGGTTATCGGATCGGATCAGATCAGAACCGGTCCGATAGCTCCCACCGATCGGGCTCCGATCCGATTCGTCCGACCGATCGGGCTAGCCCGATCCGATCTGATTTTGCCAAAAAAACCCTTTGTATGTAGTACACTTACCATGATTGATAGGCGAATGTCGGCCCGTCGTCTTGAAATTGAAGTCCTCGTCTGAAAAGAACGCTCATTTGTCGTTTCTTTTTCAAAACCCACCAGTTGCCGAACTTTCCAAAGCACTAAAACATCCAATAAGATTGTTATTCCCAACACCGCATACATAACTTTATCAAAATTTAAAGTAAGAAAAGATGCCGTTTCACTCCAAGCAAAAAGATTTGTGTTGAAAAATTCGGATGGCGCATAGTACCATCCCCCGTAACAGAGAAAACCCGTCTCTGGGTTTACCACTGAAATTCTTTAATGAAATTCTTGAAACGAAATGGATTTTGATACTCACAATTCCCGATTTGATAGCAGTACACTCCAACAGGAACGGCCCAAAGAAAAAGCTGTGTGGCAAGGCGATTGTTTCAACTTTCCTGTACAACAAACCTCGGAAAAACACCGCAAACACTCTGAAAAGTGAAAAGTCTATGAAAGTAAAAGATTTTGACAGATTTATGCTAATTTACCTGTTTAAGCAAAGGCCATGCCCTAACATTTGCATTGAATAGTGCATACCCAAATCAAAATGAAATTACGAGTCGATTGATTGTAAGCCGGATAGGAAATAGTCATCAGGATTTACGCATTCCCAACTGAAATCAAAGTTATAGTTTTATTGATTATTTATTGATCAAACTACTTATAACCTGTTCACTATGTCGTTTATTAGTTACAGTAACCTTTTACCCCAACCTCAACACACAATAAGCCTTGTAAAATTGCGTCCACGCCCTCATTGAATCGACAATAACAATCCAGAAAAAGATAACATTTGACGGCTTTTGAAATATGGGCATTTCGGAAAATTGTCCTTGCGCAGAAAAGTTCAGCGCTAGGCCAAAGATTCCCACCTGAAAGTTCCGGATTCAAAAAATTACGTGCAAAAGGAAAATGGTGACTCATTAGAACACAGAAGTACTACAATTGCCATAGACATTTTTAAGAAATTAGAAAGTTTTGGGAAATTTGGAATTTTCTGAGAGAAACGATTTCGAAAATTATCGTTTTGCTAATTCTGTGAGAACGAAAAGCTCAATTCTGACTCAAAAAGTCTGAGCTTTTGCTTTTGCTTTTGCTTTTGAGCTGTAGAAACTGGCAGAAAAATAACAGACGTGTACAATTCATCTTACTTGTATCTTTACGCCAGAATAATAAAGAATACGTATATTAGGCATGTTCAGAAATTCTTTTTGTTCCATTTCGTACTTTTTAACATAACAAATTCATCAATTAACCTATGATTTTCTCTAAATGAAAAGGGTCTAAAGTGTCTAAATAAAGTGTTTATTGTTCAATTTTCCATGTTTTTAAGTCAATTTCGGTTCACTTTCAAGCAAATTCGAGAGTGAAAAGCATGTTTTTCGCAAAAATCTTTAAAAACCTCTACGAAGAAATTGACTGAATTAATTTCTTGAATTTCTTGAACTGAATTAGTTGAATAATTGATTCAACATCCGGAAAACCGATTGATATCAAGGTGGGAATGATTTGACACAAGAAGATCTCAAAAATTAACTATAGCTCGCAAATATTAGGTTGATAAATAAGTCTTTTCGTTCCGTTTCGTACTTCCGTTTAAAAACTAAGAAATTCATCAATTAACCTTATGATTTGCTTGAAATAAAAAGACTTTCCTCTTCAATTTCCCATCTTTTTAAGTCAATTTCGATTCACTTTCAAGCAAATTCGAGAGTGAAAAGCGTGTTTTTCGTAAAAATCTTTAAAAACCTCTACAAAGAAGTTGACTAAAATTAATTTCTCTAAAAATTTGGCTATATATTTGGGTTGGGGAGAATAAGTCGGCGCCGAAAATGAAAAAAGTGTCCAAAAACTTCTATTCGACTTCGTCAAATAATATGCGTTTGATATCAGTAGAATGGTTAACTAATTCTCTACAAAATGACATTTAAAAGAAAATTCAAACAGCGCCTCCGCTCAAGAAAAAGCTTAATTTTTCTACAAAAACTACAAACTGTCATCTAGAAAAAACCATTGGTGGGATCTTCCTGCAAATTTGGCAACTTAAGTAATTGAATGTGCTCTATCTTTTTTATATGAACACCAAAGAAGGTTTATGTGAAAGAAACTGTTCAAATGATGAGTCGGACTCTTGCCATTTTAACCAGCTGCGTTTGGAAGTTCATAAACTCCCACGAAAGAAAAGCTTTGTGGAATCTCTCAAAAGTGATTTTGTAGAGAAATAGTGGATCCTTTTGATGAAACCAAACGTATGTTTAAAGAAGGCTTTATGTGTGCAAAAGTCCCTTTAAAGTTGGCCGCCGACTCATTCTCCCTAACCCAATACCTAACTTTTTGTGCTCTATCTTTTATCTCTTAACGTCAAGATAGGTTTTCTTAGCTAAAGTGTCTAAACCGTGTTATCGATCAGTCCTTTTTGACTACCCGACTTCACGCTCCCAAAAGATCCAGACATAAGACATTTTAAACCCGTTTTAATGTTATTTTGCAGAAAAATAATTGGCTTTTCTGATGGAAACAAACCGTAATTCAATTGTTCCATTTGTTGGTTTTAAACAGAAGTATGAAAAGAAATGAAAAGACTTTCTGGACAGGTAAAATAGGTAAAAAGTTATTCATCTTTCAAGAGAATATAAATTTGTTACCAGAGCCGTCTTTTTACACTGAATTCTGAATTCTGGAGTGATAAGCATCAAAGCTTTTTAAGTTTACTCATCAAATGCCAAATTCTTACATCAATCTGATATAAAAAAAGTATGAATTTGTTACCCCACAGGAATAACACATGAACTATGAGTCTTTCGCAATAATTCGATGGCGTTTATCCGCTAGTTTCTATTTGAAAATGGTCAAATGAGTACAATGTTTCACTAGTTGAGTAAAGTAAAGGTTTTTTTGTTGGTATAATTACTTCCTGATCGATATTTCTCCTCACCAGACAATTCACAATCGCGATCGTCATCTCTTCCGAGGGATTTTCACTCAAACGCACAGGCAATCCATCATAAGAATATGCTACTCCAAAGTCCCAATAATACAAATATCCACTTCCATTTACACAAGGAAATGTGTTATTTGTTGGCTGAACTCCTATTGAAGGAGTTGTAGCAAAAAGTCCAGCAAATGGATCATAAGTTGAATTCATTTGCAGAAAATATTGAAATTTATGTCCTACTTAGAACAGTTTACACGCAATTTGGATTTTTGGAAGGATTTTTGTGCTTGATTTCGCGCTTTTTTAAACATAACACTCCCATGAACCCATGGAAATTCAAAGAAACAGACACAAAAAATGTAGGCGTCATCCGTGAGAGTTTCCCAAGTTAAAAAGAACCTAAAGTCAATGCGGATCTAAAGAAACTGAGCCAGATCTTAGAATCGGTGCTCAGAGTAGAAAAAGTTAATGATAAACAATAAAATCATCTCATACTAAACTAAACTCATTTAAAAAGCTAGACTGATTGCTTTAGCATTTAAAAACTAGCTAGACTGACAGGTTATTTAAAAGTTTCTATCAACTTTTCAAAAACCATTTTAAAATGACTGAGGGAAAGCTATTCAACTAAAGGAGTTTTAAAATAAAAACACTTAATAAAATTATACAACTACCATAAATTACTAATAAGGAGCCCATAGTCCATCAAGCTTATGAGCTTCGCGTAAAAGTGGTCAATGGCCCGCTGCTGAAATTACTCAACTTCCAATGTTTATACAAATCCTTAGCATCGATGAAATTAAACAATTTACACAAATTTTAAGCTTTAAATTCTTTTCCAATTAAAAATGAACTAAACTTGATATTGAACACCCTTTCTGGGGCTTTCTGGGGGAATGCTCTTTTGATAAAAACACCAAAATCTGTTGCCTTTGATACGAGGAGCTTCTATCTTCCTTTCTATTAGGTTGGTGGGAAAATAATCGGAAATAAATAAGACTCAAACTTTATTTTTGATTTCCGAAAAGTCCTTTCACGTCATTGATACTAAACTTTTAGCTAATTGTGATTGATATACAGTACTGGATAATGAAATAGCATATTTGAAAAACGATCGTCACTTTCGCGCGTCTGTAACTCCCTTGCTTTGAGTTTAAACTATTAGTGTTATACATTTCTGAAAGCTCTTTTCAAGGGCTATACAATGGTAATATTAATACTTAGAAATACGGTAAAGACCAGGGAGTTACAGATGCGAGAAAGTGATTGATCGTTTTTCAAATATGACTATTTCATTGTCCAGTAGTGTATGTTCTTCTCTCTTTTATGTTTTTTATTTCTTTTATGCTGATGGTTTTTATACTTTGAATAAATTCATTTGTTAGTGACTTTTAGTTTTGGACTTGAAGTTAGAGGCTCAAAATTCTCGATTATTTTCCCACCAACCTAATATAAATCTTAGCCTAAACGCTTTTAAAATTCTTTTCCTACTTTTAAGCCATAAAGATGAACATTAAAAGTTTATAAATTTTGGTTTTAGGTCGATTTTGGACGATTTTGATCGATTTTGGTTGATTTTAGTTGATTTTGCCAGTGTGCTGTCGACCACTTGTGCGCGGCAAAAAATTTTTGAAAAATGTTGTCACCGGTGGAAGTCGAACCAAAGACCCTCAGATCAATAGCCTTTCCGCCGCTTTTCATGATTTTCCTTCGTTTTTCTCGTTTTTTTTTGTTTTATCATTTTTTGATGTTGTTAGAAGGCTTTTTCAGGGAATATCGTTGTCAAGTTGAATCGGAGGAGGACCAACCAGCGGACACCTGTTTTTGTATGCATTCAACCGAAAACTCAATACCGCACAGGCTCATCGAGAGATTACTGACGTTTATGGACCCGATTTCGTGGCCGATAAAAAAGCTATGATGAGCTATGGCCTCTGTATTAGTAATTTTGAGTAGAATTTTATTCAGGTTTTCTTTTTAAAAAGGTTTCGCTAAATAGCTTTCCTCAATCATTTTAAATCAAGTCTTAGTAAAAATTTGTATAGAAACTTTTAAATCGCCCTGTAAATTTGGAACATTTGGGTAAATGGGTGCAGAAGGATCCGGGAGAGGATGAAAAAGCTTGTAAAAGTTACATTAGATTAGATTTTGATTTGAAGAACTTTGGTCAATGCCACTAATTGTAAATAACACCAGCTGCGCTGGGCGTCCGTTAGCGGCCGCACGGATATTCTACCTAGAGGTACTGAAGGCACCCAGCAGTGAGCACCTAGCACAAAGCTGATTGCAGATTCGGATTCCACGCCCCCTGAAAATCGAGTACAAATTTCAGCTTTCTAGCTCACTTCATTGTAATTTTACGTTGACGTAATTTGTATTGTCGCGTAGGCATGACGGACGGACGGACGTTTTATATTTTTGTATATAGTATGTATATGTAAATAGCTTTGTTATCGCTAGCTTTTCGATCACTGAAAAAGCAGCAAGTGTTTTGTTTCAACATTACATCCCAAGAGCAATTGGAAATTAGGACAAAGTGAATTTTTGAGCTTTTGAAACTTTTAGCAAAGTATAAATAGCGAATTTTAATCAGAATTTGA